GTAATTCAGACCCACATCATCTAGAAGGATTTTTTGCACAATGAAAGTCGCAACCTGTCAGCATGAATAAATTAGATGCATGAAAATCTAATCAAGTCAAGGGAGGATTTAACTGGAAATTGGTTTTGGGGAAGCACTAACTGTTTTTGATAGTTCACATCCCATCTCCATCGCGCACAAGCACTTCGGAATTATATCTGTTGAAATAAGAAAACTGATAACTTCAGTGTCATCTACCTGCGCAAACAAAGTGCATTTAAGCTTTAGACAATAATTGATTAAATAGGTAAAGAAAACGTATAGCTCCTAAAATTTTAACTAATCACGGTTTCCTTCTCATGTCATTACCAGTAGATATGATCATGAATAAAATCTTTATACTGACAATGAAGTAGAAGAAGAGACACATGAAATACAGTAGACATATTACCTTCACAAGGGCACAAATGACACCTAAGCTTGCAAGCCTCAAATATTCAAAAGGTGTCGACTTGCTTGTTGTGTTAAGAAAGGGGTACAAATACAAAGGATTTTTTGCTGAAAAGTAGAAAACTGTTAGAAGGATCTATTCAACGGAAACCAAATATCACAAATATGATGGATTACAATTACAACTATCATCACTCAAAAGTCGATCAAAATCTCAAGAACACATCATGATTATGACGTCCACTTATTTGATTTTTTTTTGGACGTACATATTAAGTTTATGAAGGTTACAAAGCATTTTACATGAATAATATAGGGCTGGGGTAGTTATCTAAGACAACATTCTTGTGTTGCAGCGCTTCAATAAACCTAAGGACACACATGTAATCTTCATTTCTTCCATCTTTATGGACATCAGTGACTATCAAGGACGAGCGGTCATTATTACTTTATAGTCATGCATTCCGAGGAAAATAAAACCCAAGTATAATTTTATTTTTTTTCTACAAGTAGTGGATAAGATAAATCCAAGTATAATGTCTTCATGTGTAAATCAAATTCAAATTCTCGTCCAAAGATGTATCAAACAAATGCAGGGTGGCATTAATTTGATACAATTTGGATCTTATTCTTGACTTGTAGCTGTGGAATTCTTTTTGACAAGTAAATAAGAGTTTAATTTAAGTGAAAATATGATACTAAGCAAGTGCCGGCAGAATAAGATTTAAGAGATGTAACTATGAGAAGTGTTGAGATTTTTGTGTCCCTGTCATTGTAATGGAAAAGAATTTGCATGCACAAGCAACTGCAAATCAACAAAGGCAACAATTTTCTAGCATTCCAACAACATTCCACCCAAAAGTACTGTCAGAAAAGGCCTTTGTTGTATACCAAAAGAGGCCAAGCTTATTGCCATTGACAAACAGATATGAGAACTTTAAAAAAAAAAAAAAAAAAGAGAGAGAGAAGAGAATCTTCACCATTGAGGAACGACTTTCTGGTGTCAGGATGAGAGGCTACAGACTGCAAAATAGAAAGCAATGAGAAACTATTACAATAGAAGGGATAGAAAATTTGACCTTGACCAGCAAAAAACCTAAATAAGAGAGGCACTTAAAGCATTTATACAATGGTAACAACAGATATTTGGAAGTGATACTTGTCATGCTCCAAGAAAGAGATAAAAGGTAAATTACTTCCCTACTAACACATTCCAGTTTGTTGCATTCACCATCCACCTCTCTTGATACATTTAGCACAACCCAAATTTATCCAATTTTCTATACCTCTCTTGACAATAACTCATTACTTTAAGATCACCAACAAGAATGAATAATAGAAACTGTATCAAGAAACACTATGAAAAAGTCTACAACAAAACGAAGTTAATATACCTGTAGAAGTGCTATTGCATTACAAACTCTATTGGATTGTGCAGGAGCCAGGCATGGCAACGACAAACCAGGGTAGATAGAAACTATTTCCTGCAAACGTGAAAATTAACGATAACAAACTTATAGAAACAGCCAGGAACTTCCACACTATAAGTTTAAGAAATAAGAAACAAATAGTTGAACAGAAAATGTCTGCAATAGAAGTTCAAGAAATACGAATGAAATAATTGAGAGAATAAAGTCCGGAATCTCAATTCTCATCATGGTAGAAAAAGTTGCTTTAATGAACCAATAATATTGGCTCTAAGCATACAACTACCTACATATATGATATAGTAGCTTCTGTTTACCATCTCAGTTGGGCTAAGACACAAAAACAGTTAAATTGAGATTAGATTTAAATGACAGAAAAAAATTTCCTCCTAGAAGTGATATTTTCCTTTTTTGGGTTAATTCTCCTCGAAGTGGGGTTTTGGCTCCATTTACATCAAAACAAATATGGAAAAGCAAATCAAAATTCTATTTTGAGACTTCCCCAGTATTTTTGTTTCCAATTTTTACCCCAAATTGTTTTATTCCAGACAATGCTAAAGCAATCAAACATAAAAAATGAAAATTACACAAGGGAAGTACCCCATGGGCCAATGCAGGACTCTACAGGACATTTTCAATTTTAAACATTTGAAATTCCCAGTAACCCCAATCGAAAAACCATTAAGATGTTTTCTTGATAGCTTTGTTGTAAAAGGATTCTTAACTTTTAATGGTGCAAAGTAGATAATCAGTGCAAAGTGGTACTTTAGCTTCATGCGCATCTGAGAGATGAGATAAACTCTAGAATTACAATAGAACACTACTCAAAATACCTGTAGGAGTGCAGCGATAGTACCAAATGAGTGCCACAACAAGCGGCCCAAATCCGGGAACAACTCCTTCTTCTGGAAAAGGAAAACAAAGGTATATCTAGGTAAATCTTAATTCTATTTAGCAGAACAACAAAATGATACTCAATCCAAAATGTCAAAGAAACCTCTAAAGTGAGAAGAATAAACCTTGAAAAGCTCTAGAAGAGCGTTTTCACGAAGATTAGGGTCGCAGAGAACAAGCACAAGTTGTTCAACGGATTGCATTTTGCAATCCTTATTGAGGGGTGCTCCGGAGCTGGAAGACGATGACGACATACCACCTCCTCCTCCGAAGCGGCCGACACCAACGGAGAAAGATTGAGGTAGGTTTGTCATTCTAAAGCCTCAATTAAATGTTTGTATCTTTTTTATCCTTTCACTTACCCTACTTTATTTTCTGTCCTTTTTCTTTTTTTCCTGAATTGAACAAAGACAAAATTCACCGTTGGATAATTTTGATAAATAAAATTTACTGTTTTATTTACAACTGCGGCACCATCAATGAACCAAACACGTGTTAATGTCAATTGGGAGCATTCCATAGTAATTTTCAAGATTGATATGGTCTTTAGATTTTTCGAAATAAAACCTAATTAAAATAAAAAGTAGTTTTCATATTATTTTTCTAATAATTGTGATTAGATTTGATCTTTGATCTATGTTTAAGAAACTATATTTATTAATGATGGAATTTGTTGATAATCAATGAAGAGGATCATTAATGAAATTTACAAGTCATTTTCTGATGTAATTGAAGACAAAAAGAAGATTTTTGAGATTTGTTGAATCATGAATCATATATTCTTTTTTTTAGATTGACTTGGAGTTTAATTTCTTTGGCATAAAAACTAATTAAAATGATAATTTTTCCTATTGTCTTCTATTAACTAGGTTAGATTTGATATAATCAATGAGGGCGATCATAATAAAATTTACTAGTCATTTTCTAATGTAACTTGTACATGTCAATTTATCATCATATCAATGGTAGCCTAACCCACGCTTGGACTCATGCACCTTAAAACAATTTGCTCAAAAATGCTCGTCACATTCCTCCAGGTTGTAAAAGTTGAAAACATTTTTCTTGCTTTAGACCAATGCACTTATAGACACAATACGTAGATATAGTAAAAACTCTTCAAATTAATACCCGATCAATTAATAAACTCTTTAAGATAATATTTTTCTCTGATCCCGACTCGAGGAAAAAAATATCAGCGATTTAAGATAATATATTTTTAGAAGATTCCTATATAAATATATGGTCCTACTTATATTATAAATTACTAATTCTTTAAAATTATAAAAATATCTAAGACAATCTAGTGAAATATATTCTAGTAGTTTTTTTTAATTTTTGTTTAAAATATAACTCTAGTGAAGCTCATATCTAATTATTCTTACCTCATCCAAAAGTTCTGGTGTTGTCTTCTCACACTGCACCAAAAACTATGAAAAGTTCTAGACGTGACAAGTGTTGCCATATGTGTAATTGATTCCAAAGGTATCGTACTCCCTTATGTGTAATTGGTTTTATTCTGAAAAAACTAAAGATCAAATCAATCTTGAAAATTACTATGAATGCTCCTAGATGGCATTAACACGTGAATGGCATGCTTTGGTCATTTATGGTGCCGCAGTTTTAAATAAAACGGTGAATTTGTCTTTGTTCAGTTTGGAATCAAAAGAAAAATGAGAGAAAATAAAGTAGGATAAGCGAAAGGTTGAAAAAGATAAAAACATTCAATTGAGGCTTTAGAATGGCAAACTTACCTCAATCTTTCTCCGTCGATGTCAGCAGCTTCGGAGGAGGAGGTGGCATGTCATCATCGTCTTTCGACGCCGGAGCACCGCCCAATAAGGATCGCAAAATGCAATCCGCTGAACAGCTTGTGTTTGTTCTCTACGACCCTAATCTTCGTGAAAACACTCTTCTAGAGCTTTTCAAGGTTTTTATTCTTCTCACTTTAGAGCTTTAGAGGTTTACTTTGACATTTTGGATTGAGTATTATTTTGTTATTCTACTAAATAGAATTAAGATTTACCTACATATACTTATTGCCTTTTTTTCCTTTTCCAAAAGAAGGAACTTTTCCCGGATTTGGCCCCCTTGTTGTGGCATTCATTTGGTACTATCGTTGCACTCCTACATGTATTTTGAGTAGTGTTTCATTGTGATTCTAGAATTTATCTAATCTCTCAGATGCACATGAAGCTAAAGTACCACTCCACAAGGTAATTCTAGCATTTCTTTTGCCTGTTCATACACACATTTCTTCAGTAATAACTCATTACCAATGCGTCACACTGCACCTTTAAAAGCTATGAATAAAAGAAAGAATTTGAGTGACCTTTTACAGCAAAGATATTAACTAAACATCTTAATGGCCTTTCAATTGGGGTTACGGAGGAATTCAGTTAAAATTCAAAATGTCTTGTACAGTCCTAGTTTTTTTTTCCACATCTTTAAAGAGTCTTAGGATGATAAAAGAGGTTTGTGAAATTTCTAGCTGGGGATGGAGTGGGAGCTAGTCCTACATTGGCCCATGGGTTGCACGTCGCATCCCTTGTTGTAATTTATACTCAGCTCAATGCTAGGTTGTTTTTTCAACAATGGAAACTAGTCAATTTATGTCATTTCATTGTATATGTTGGGTTGCTTTATCCAAGGCGGGAAAAATGGAATAAAATGATTTGGGGTAAAAGTAGAAATTAAATATACAGGGAATGTCCCAAAATAGAATCCCAATGTGTTTTTTCGTAGTTGGTGTATGTAAATGAAACAGATGGAGCCTACTTTTCGAGGAGACATTAACCCCGAAAGGAAATATCGCCACTAGGTAAAGAAACTATTATGTCATTTAAAACTAATCTCAAATTAATTGTTTTTGTACTTTGGCCCAACATAGATGGTAAACAAAAACTACTATAAATAGGTGGTTGTATGTTTTATCAGAACCAATATGATTAGTTCAGTGAAAATAACCCTTTCTAAGATGATGAGATTCTGGACTTCATCATTTCTTCCCTTCCCAATTTTATTTTTAATGAGACGAAATCCAAATATGAGATTGTTCTTCATGTAAAAGGAAGTCAAATCTCAAACAATGACCCCTCAATCACACACATACATCACCTTTATCTACAGGGGCAAATGTTATAGAAGGATTGTGGAAACACTAATCTAGGAGAGTCCAAATTAAAATTGTGTAAATCTCTAACCATGTCCAACATGGAATCTATTACATAAATAAGGTTGCGCCGAAAAAGATGGCAAAAATTACATGTGCTTAAAAGTAACATTCTTAGGACAAGCACAAAATTTAATTGCAAGAAGAGTTTCAATAAAATACCAAAAAAATCACAATTGAAAATTTTGTTTTGGGAATACCTTTTATTCATTTCATTCAACAATTGGAGAATAACACGTTAAAAACATTACTAGAGGAAAAAAAAGTTTTGCCTCTAAAAATTAACAAGCATACATTATGACTCAGACATCACTGAGCTTGCAGCAAAAGTCACCAAACATTAAACAGTAGTATTGCTTGAGTCAGTTTGATGCAAAGTATACAAGCATAAATAGCTTTACATGAAAATAGGTTCGATAAATAACAGTTAAAACCCCTTGTACACTAACGTTGACGTTGTAAATTAGAAACAATTACTAAAAGCCAATAGGACTCAACTTTTTGATTCCACATAATCACATTTCAAGTTATAATAGAAATCTAGAGGAATAGATATAGAGAATTCGTATAGCCAACCTAACTAATTGGGGATTGAGGCATAGTTGATTGATACATTGGTACTCGAAATCCAGAAAGGATAAAGAAAAGAGAGTTTTCATAAGATCATTGGCCCAAACAAACTTGAATAGTAAAAAGAAACTGACCACCAGACATCATTCACATCAAAGCCACAATCCAAATATACAGCCCCCATTATGGACTCCACAATGTCTGCAAGGAGCTTTGGTGCTTTTATCGTTCCTCCGTAGAACTCCATCTCCTCCTCCTGTTGCACTGTTATCACGAGCTCCTTCACTTACATCAAATTCAAAGTCTCCTCTATTACAATTCCACATAGGAACTATTGTAATCAGTTTGACAATCTAGTGCCAATGAAATGCGCAATTACACACTGTTACCAAAGGAAAATTAAGTGTCATATGCAATGGCTTACTGGAATCTTCTCTATTTGAAACAAGTACAGCTCTTAGAAGTTCGAAGACTTACAAATGGAAACAAAATGGACACTCATATTGGATAAGATGCAACTGCCGAACTAGACTAGCCAAACCAAAGAACTTTTTAGATTAATACATTTCGTAATTTTTGGGAACTTGCTTATATGAGCAATCCATATAGTAATTGGGAGGAGTTCTCCCAAGTTCATACTTTATGCTTTGCTTACTTCTATAAAGCTAGTTACTCTCTAAAGCGGAGGAGTCTTTTATAGTTTAGATGGTCAAACTATACTTTGAACATTCATCTAGTTATATATACATTTTTAAAGACCTTAAAGTGTAAAAGGGTGGCATGTCTACGCTCCTCTTATGATTTCAAAAGGTAAAATTGTCATTTCAATTCCTTCATTTAACTAATATTTGAAGAAAAAAAATACACAAAATTACCCTCCTAAACTTATCCAAAAAAGCCTATTGCATGCTTTAACTTTAAGGGCATTCCTTTACACCCTATTCTCGAGGGGTTATTTATGCTTTTTACCCAATTTTGAACATTAATATACGAGGCAGAGGTCAATATCTGACCAGTGCCATTACTAGGTGGTACTGTCTTAATTTTTATTGAAATATTTACTTGTATACACTGTCTTTTATATGCTTATATAGATACTTTGATAGTTACTTCCAACGCCCTCGAAATACTTGTCACTATCCGCTTCTCGATTGTGAAATATATGAACTTTGACCAACATTTAAAGATATATCTTTTCACCACATTGATATAAGATGAATTGCAACTTATAATATTGTATGTATATCTTATGAATATCCAAATTTCAATTTTAAAAAATAAACTATAGCAATCCAATTTAGCTCCAAAGATTAGTCAAATTGACTCTCGAAAAGCCAAAAGCCACAACTAATTTGGGACGGAAGGAGAAAATACAACAAAACTTAAACTACACAACAATGTGAAGTAGATCATATAAGTTAGATACTAGTATGTACCTTTTCATCGAGGATTGCTGAATCACGGCTAAGGCACTTGTAGAGTCCATGCCGGACAGCAACTCTAACAAGTTTTTCCGTACTCACATCGGCAGCAGACAGGTCAGTTAGCTTACCACAGTCAACGTCAGGGTAAGTCACGAAGAAATAGCTAAGCCGAGAGCGGCGTTGCAGATGAACGCGAGTCGCTGGTAATTAGAAGCTGAATTAGGACAGGAAGACTGAGTAAGAGCTTCCTGTTCTTAAATCACTACTTCATTCACTCTCTTTGTATTTGTATCTGTGTTTTACAAATATTTGTGTTTTACAATTTCAATTTAAAATATCATACATATATATAGATACATTTGTATATTCAAATTGTATGCTTTTTTTAATGAACCAGTAATATTAGTTCTAACAAAGCATACAACTACCTACATATATGATATAGTAGCTTCTGCTTACCATCGAAGTTGAGCTAAGACACAAAAGCAGTTAAATTGAAATTAGATTTAAATGACAGAAAAAATTCTCCTCCTAAAGTTAATACTTTCCTTTTTTGGGTTAATGTCTCCTCGAAGTGGGGTTTTGGCTCCATCTACATCAAAACAAATACAGAAAAGCAAATCGAAATTCTATTTTGAGACTTCCCTGTATTTTTGTTTCCAAATCATTTTATTCCAGACAATGATAAAGCAAACCAACATAAACAATGAAAATAACATATTGTCTAGTTTTCATTATTGGAAATACAACCTTGCAATGAGCCCAGTACAAAATACAACAAGGGAAGTACCCCATGGGCCAATGTGGGACTAGCTCCCACTCCCCTCCCTAGCCAGAAATTTTACAAACCTATTTAATAATCCTAAGAATCTACAAGATATTAAGGGGGTAAAAGCTAGGACTTTATAGGACATTTTGTGAATAATTCACAGTAACTCCAATTGAAAAAGCATTAAAAAAAATTCTTGATAGCTTTGTCGTAAAATGTCATTTAGATGCTTCCTTTTATTCCATTAAGAGTGGTACTTTAGCTTCAAGTGCATCTGAGAAATGAGATAAACTCTAGAATTACCATGGAACACTACTCAAAATACTTGTAGGAGTGCATCGATAGTACCAAATGAGTGTCACAACAAGGGGGCCAAATCCAGAAACAACTCCTTCTGTCAAAAGGAAAACAAAGGTAATAAATATATCTAGGTAAATCTTAATTCTATTTAGCAGAACAACAAAATGATACTCAAACCAAAATGTCAAAGCAAACCTCCAAAGTCAGAAGAATAAACCTTGAAAAGCTCCAGCAGAGCGTTTTCACGAAGATTAAGGTCGCAGAGAACAAGCACAAGTTGTTCAACGAATTGCATTTTGCGATCCTTATTGGGGGGTGCTCCGGCACTGGAAGACGATGACGGCATACCAGCTCCTCCTCCGAAGCTGCCGACACCGACGGAGAAAGATTGTGGTAGGTTTGCCATTCTAAAGCCTCAATTGAATGTTTTATCTTTTTTGTCCTTTCACTAACCATACTTTATTTCTCTCTTTTTTTTTTGCCCGAACTAAACAAAGATAAATTCACGGTGAATTCTGTCTTTGTTCAGTTCTTTGTTCAGTTCAGAAGCAAAAGAAAAATGAGAGAAAGAAAGTAGGATAAGCGAAAGGACGAAAAAGATAAAAAACATTCAATTGAAGCTTTAGAATGGCAAACTTATGCCAATCTTTCTCCGTCGGTGTCGGCAACTTCGGAGGAGGAGGTGGTATGTCATCATCGTCTTTCAGCGTCGGAGCACCGCCCAATAAGGATCGCAAAATGCAATCCGCTGAACAACTTGTGTTTGTTCTTTGCAACCCTAATCTTCATGAAAATGCTCTTCTAGAGATTTTCAAGGTTTTAATTCTTCTCACTTTAGAGGTTTACTTTGACATTTTAGATTGAGTACCATTTTGATATTCTGGTAAATAGAATTAAGAGTTACCTAAATATACTTATCGCCTTTGTTTTCCTTTTCCATAACAAGTCACTTTTCCCGGACTTGGCCCCCTTGTTGTGGCACTAATTTGGTACTATCGTTGCACTCCTACAGGTATTTTGAGTAGTGTCCATCGTAATTCTAGAGTTTATCTCATCTCTAATATGCACATGAAGCTAAATTACCACTCCACATGATAATTCTAGCATTTCATTTGTATGTTCACGCACACATTTCTACAGTAATAACTCATTACCTATGCTTCACACTGCACCATTAAAAGCTAGGAATAAAAGAAAGCATTTGAGTGACCTTTTACAACAAAGTTATTAAGGAAACATCTTAATGGTCTTTCAATTGGGGTTACGGAGGAATTCAAGTGATTAAAATTCAAAAATGTCTTGTAGAGTCCTAGTTTTTTTTCACATCTTTTAAGATTCAAGGATGATAAAAAGAGATTGGTGAAATTTCCAGCTGAGGAGGGAGTGGGAGCTAGTCCTACATTGGCCCATGGGTTGCAGGTCACGTCCCTTGTTGTAATATATATTCAACTCATTGCAAGGTTGTCTTTTCAATAATGGAAACTAGTCAATTTATGTCATTTCATTGTATATGTTGGGTTGCTTTATCCAAGGTGGGGAAAATGGAATTAAATGATTTGGGGTAAAAGTTGGAATTAAATATACAAGGAATATCCCAAAATAGAATTCTAATGTGCTTTTTTGTAGTTGGTGTATGTAAATGAAAAGATGGAGCCTACTTTTCAAGGAGACATTAACCCCGAAAGAAAATATGGCCACTAGGAGGAGAAACTAGTATGTCATTTAAATCTAATCTCAAATTAATGGTTTCTATGCCTGGGCCCAACATAGATGGTAAACAAAAACTACTACAAATAGGTGGTTGTATGTTTTATCAAAACCAATCATATTGGCTCAGTTAAAATAACTCTTTCTATGATGATGAGATTCTGAACTTCATCACTTCTTCCTTTCCCAATTTTATTTTCAATGAGACGAAATCCAAATATGAGATTGTTCTTCAGGCAAAAGAAATTCAAATTTCAAACGGTCACCTTCTCTCTCTCACACACATACATTACCTTTTTCTACAAGGGCAAATATTATAAAAGGATTGTGGAAGCACTAATCTAGAGTGTCAAAATTAAAATTGTGCAAATCTCTAGCCATGTCCAAAATGGAATCTATTACATAAATAAGGTTGCGCCGAAAAAGCTAGCAAAATTTACATGTGCTTAAAAGTGACATTCTTAGGACAAGCACAAAATTTAATTGCAAGAAGAGTTTCAATAAAATACCAAAAAAATCACAATTGAAAATTTTGTTTTAGGAATACCTTTTAATCATTTCATTCAACAATTGTAGAATGACACGTTAAAAACATTACTAGAGGAAAAAAGTTTTGCCTCTAATAATTAGCAAGCGTACAAAATGACTACTCAGACATCACTGAGCTTGCAGCAAAAGTCACCAAACATTAAACAGGGGTATGGCTTGAGTCAGTTTGATGCAAAGTATACAAGCATAACTAGCTTTACATGAAAACAGGTTCGATAAATAACAGTTAAAAACCCCTTGTACACTAACGTTGACGCTGTAATTTAGAAGCACTTATTAAAAGCCAATAGGCCTGAAAGACTCAACTCTTTGATTCCACATAATCACATTTTCAAGTTATAATAGAAATCTAGAGTAATAGATATAGAGAATTTGTATAGCCAACCTAACTAACTGGGATTGAGGCATAGTTGATTGATACATTGGTATTCTAAATCCAGAAACTAGAAAGGATAAGGAAAAGAGAGTTTTCATAAAATTAATTTGCCAGAACAAACTTAAATAGTAAAAAAGAAACTGACCACCTAGACATCGTTCACATCAAAGCCACAATCCAAATATACAGCCCCCATTATGGACTCCACAATGTCTGCAAGGAGCTTTGGTGCTTTTATCGTTCCTCCGTAGAACTCCATCTCCTCCTCCTGTTGCATTATTATCACGAACTCCTTCACTTACGTTAAATTCAAAGTCTCCTCTATTACAATTCCACATAGGAAGTATTGTAATCAGTTTGATAATCTGGTGCCAAGAAATGCGCAATTACACACTGTTACCAAAGGAAAATTAAGTGTCATATGCAACGGCTAACTGGAATCTTCACTATTGAAACAAGTACAGCCTTAGAAGTTTGAATATTTACAAAAGGAAACAAAATGGACATACATATTGGATAAGATGCAACTGCCGAACTAGACCAGCCAAACCAAGAACTTTTCAGATTAATACATTTCGTAATTTTTGGGAACTTGCTTACATGAGCAATCTATATGGTAATTGGGAGGAGTTCTCCCAAGTTCATATTTTATGCTTTGATTACTTCTATTAAAAAAAAAAAAAAGTTGCACTCTAAAGTGGAGGAGTCTTTTACAATTTAGATGGTCAAACTGTACTTTGAGCATTCATCTAGTTATATATACATTTTTAAAGACCTTAAAGTGTAAAAGGGATGGATGGCATGTCTACCCTCCTCTTATGATTTCAAAAGGTAAAATTGTCATTTCCCCTCCCTTCATGTAATTAATATTTGAAGAAAAAAATACACAAAATTACCCTCCCAAACTTATCCAAAAAAGCCTATTACATGCTTTAACATTACGGGCATTCCTTTACACCCTATTCTCGAGGGGTTATTTATGCTTTTTACCCAATTTTTGAACATTAACATAAGAGACAGAGGTCAATATCTGACCAGTACCATCACTGGGTGGATTTGTCTTAACTTTTATTGAAATGTTTACTTGTAAACACTCTTTATTATATGCTTACATAAATACTTTGATAGTTACTCCCAACGCCCCCGAGATACTTGTCACTATCCGCTTCTCGATTGTGAAATATATGAACTTTGATCAACATTTAACGACATATCTTTTCACCACATTGATATAAGAGGAATTGCGACATAGTATTGTATGTATATCTTAGGAATATCTAAATTTCAATTTTAAAAAATCAAATTATTGCAATCCAATTTAGCTCCAAAGATTAGTCAAATTGACTCTGAAAAGCCACAACTATTTTGGGACGGAAGGAGAAAATACAACAAAACGTAAACTACACAACAATGTGAAGTAGATGCATATAAGTTAAATACTCGTATGTACCTTCTCATCGAGGATTGCCGA